ACAAATACGTTTTTATAATATATATATATATATATATATATATATATATATATATATATATATATATATATATGCATTTTTTAAAACGTATTTATAAAAAAATATATACAAATACGTTTTTAAAATATGTGTTTTATGTGAAAATATGTTTTTTTTTTTGCATAAATATGATTTTATACAATAAAAAAAACATATTTGAAACAAAATTTTGAAAAAAAAGATGTAAAAAAACTAAAATTAAGATGAATTCATAAATAATAATTTGAAATCTGGGCCAAAAGTGTAAATTTTGGACCAAATTTGTAATAAAAATTTAAAATGTGAGCCAAAAGTGTAAATCTTGAAAGTGGGATGACTTATTGACCGGGTAAAAGAGTCAAATGAATACAATTGTCAGTTTTTGGGACTTATCTGACTAAAAAAATATATAATGACTAAATCGATTATGAGACAAAAATATACAAATTTTTATAGAGTTTTCTAACAAAGCAAAGTATATGTTATAAATAGTATATTCGTTAATGAAAATTGCGAAAGTTAAGTTAGATGAATATGTCCATTTATGTACATTTTTTTTTCGAATTAAACGATCATACTATGTAAAATAGCTAATGTGTGGTCATTAATCAACGTTAGCCAAAGTACAATGCAATAAATTGTATGATATATTTGTATATTGTAGTCCACCATTAACTACCGGTTCAATAATGGATTTATGGCTAATGAAGCTACTATTCTTTCTATTAACAATAGTAATAGATTTATAGCCACTCAAACTACCATTAGATGGTCACAATGTACTCTTTATGTAACCTTCTATACTTCTTAAATACTACTATATTATAACTCATATAACTCAATACCTTAACTCTATAGCAAGGTTGTAGAACTCGTTAACTCGGTACCTGCTCGGCCGACTGCCGAATAGCGAGTACTCGGGAGTACTTGAGGAGTACTCGGATTCGGTAATTTATGTAGAAATATTTTTTGGAAAATTATATATGTCAAAATCATAATTTGATTGAAATATATAACAAAATTAGATACATGTGAATACATAAAAACTAAAATACACAAAATTGTCTCACTTCGTAAATAATTACTGAAAATTTAAAATATATATGTAGTAATAATTGTATGTGTGTGTTAGATAATAAATCATTAAGTGTATTATACATACTAATCTTGAAATTCTTGATTTTTTTTTTCTTTTTATGATAATGTTGACCCTTGACCGAGTTTGACCGAGTAGGCCCAACTAAGACCGAGTAATACCGAGTAGGCTCGAGTTAGAGTGATGTTAACCGAGTTTGACCGATTTTTGACCGAGTTTGACTTAATCCGAGTTTTTTTTGCCGATTTCATATTACTCGTCTCAGTGGAAGACCGATTCCGAGTAATCGGCCGAGTACTCGGCCGAGTAGGCCGAGTTTTGCAACACTACTCTATAGTATCATTAAACTTTTTTTACTCCTTTTGATATTGCCATCAAGGAACCCCATTATGAGGCTCATCAAACTCGTTGAATGTTGTCACATGAAACTTGCTATGTGATTTGCATCACGTGGTATATATATATATATATATA